AAAGCGAGCTCCCGTTTGGCAGTCCAGTTTAGGGTGGCCAGGACCAAGGTGGGAACTCTGGACGTTTTGCAGTGTGGAAGTGGCTAAGAAAGAGCGTGGGGGTGTGCGTAAGGCACGAGGCCAAGGTAGAAACTAAGCTTTCGAATTGACACTGTCACATTTGCCTATTCAGACTGCAAGCACCCGTGCCCGCCCTGTTTCTTAATCCGAAGTCGGGTGCTCCCAGAGGGTGGCTGAGGATGGACGAGCCATGCGGTGGAGTGGCCAGCGAGAGTTCGAGGGGGAACCCCATTTCCGCGAGTCTCCCTTAGGATGCTGGAAATGGGAAACGTGGTCATTCCACTCTGCGACATGCCAAGGTCTGGTAAGCAGCTGGAGCTCCAAGGGCGCAGACACTGAAAAGCAGAGCTGGGGAGCTGCACCCCTGCGAGCTTTCGTCTAGCTAGGGTGCTGCGGGAAGAGGAGCTCCTGGCAGCTTCGGTCCGAGGGTGAGATGGCAGAGCTGTCGCTCTGGGCTGGCAGGTCCACCAGACCACACCGCTTTTCAAGTTAAGTAACTGAGAGAGCTCTGAAGAGGCCTGCTCGATCCAGGCCGCTTGGCCACCAGGGGTGGAAGGCAGTACTTGGGGCTGGACATGAAAGCCAGAAAGAAGTAGTGGGGAAGCACAGACTATACCTTGGCAGAGACCCACCAGTTCAAAACTCTGTGTGGATCCCACCCCGTGGCACGGGCCTCTGTGGGTGCTCGAACAGACCCAGTGCAGCAACACAAAGTCGGACTCTGACCGACTTGGTTGTCCTGTCCTAGCTCAGGCAAGTCACTTCCCTCCTCGGAAAAGACCCGGTTCTATAGACCAGGGTTCTTGGGTGATATCGTGTGAATGAATCTTGGAAGGAGACAGAGCCAGAGGCTGTCAGGCCTTATCCCCATACCCGAGAACCTACAGCCTGTGTTGTAGCCGGGGATAAGGACTATATGCGCTTATGAACAAATTCCCTTCAGACAGGAACCCCCAGAAAGTGAAACTGGGGAGGGAATGGGGTTCAGTGGCAGACCACACCCAATGTGAGGCTCTGCATTCATTTCTAGCATCGAAAACACACAAACACAAACAAAACAAAAGCCCCAAAATGCACCTAGGCACAGAGACCAGAAGGCAGTGGAGGAGTGAAGGAATCGGGGCTGGGCTCCTGAGTAGGCATCTCTAGGGTAGAGCCCACTAGGGGCTTCTTGGACAATGTGGGCATTCCTCTGGGCTAAATCCCTGGCAGGATGGGGGATGGGCAACAAGCAGCCCTACCTTTCTGCCTCTACCTCAGCCCTTTCCCCTAGGGCTCCACCATTCCATGTTGGAAGCCATGGCTCCACTGAGCACACCCCCACCCCCCATATACCTTTACAGTAACTCACAGTTTTCATCCATCTACCTAGAGAAGCAAAGGAGACACTGGCCCAGACTGACAGTAGAAACACATATGGAGTCTCAGATACTTCCAGAGAAGCAACCCAGATATTTAGGCAGCAAGATTCCAGGACCGGACGATAAGCCCAAGAGACCCTCAGGACATTCACAGAACACCACACCCACAAGAACACACCTCTACGATACCACTGGCCACCCTCAGACCCCACTAGGTCTGTTGCTATAGGCCTAGCTCTTCCTAACACAGCTTAGGAAAGATGAGGGATATCGTAATGAGGAAATGGATCTGGAGAGACCCCTGGCCTTTTCCCTGTCCAGAGTGGTGGACACTGGTCATCCTGCAGAACAGGCAGTGGCCAGTCCAGGCCCGAGTGAGGTGCTGAGAAGGGAGGCTGGCCCTTAGAGGCCTGGGCCCCGGCCCTCACTTACTGAGCGGAAGGAGAACTCTCAGGCGGATGAGGATGGACACTGGGCACCAGGGTCCTGGTGGGGAAGCTTCCAGGGCCCAGGTAGGGCAGTGGCTAGCGGACTCTCAGGAACTTCTTTCCCCAGCAGCAGGCCGGTAGCGGCGGACAGCAGACTGGCCCTGTCCGATAGTCCTCTCCTCCTCCCCCCGCCCCCCCCGCATGGATGGGGGGGGCACCAGAGGCCCAATTGGTCTCTGCCCCCACGTGACTCTGCAGGCCTCTCTCTCTCCTCCTTTGTTGGTGTTTCTCTTCATTTAGGTCTATATCTTTTTTCACTCTCCTAAAAGAAAAAAAATACCCCTATCTTTCTGGGGGCCCCGGGCGGGGGCAGAGGCCAAGGCACTGAGGAGGCCTTAGCCAGCTGGTTGTCCAGGCCGCTGTGGGAGCCTGAGGCAGGGACCCCACGTAGGCGGGTAGGCAGCCGCTTGTTAGCGACTGGGTGGGAGTGGGACCTGATTTACGGGCTGCTCCCTCACCAGGCTGTGAGTCTCTCCCCTTGAATGGCTTCCTCCCTGGGTCTTGGCCTGGACTGCATAGTCCAGCTTGTCCCAGATCTGAGTGTGGAGTCAGAATGGCTGTTGTGGAGGAATGGCCATGGTGGATCCCGTTAGGTGGGGCTTGTGTGACTTTTGATTATAGCTTCTCTGAATACCACTATGTATTGGGAGTTGCATATGTGTTCCATCGATAGCTGGGGAAACTGAGGCTGTGCCAAGACTGCTGGGCTAAGGGTGTGGTCACAGGGGCTTCAGATTGAACCTGGAGTCTCTGGATAGAGAATGAGGTTTTTGTTTTTTAATCTAGAAGGATAGATAGGCTTCCCTGCTTTGCCTGGGATGTTTCTGTCCACTGTTTTCAAGTCCACACAGGTCTTGGGCTGGCGTGGTCCCATTAGGTCCAGATTGCTGAGCCCTTCGTGGTTGTCTATCACACACCTCTCTGTGCATCCCTTCTTCGTCTCCTATGGACCGTGTGCTTTGTGAGTCAAGTGCTGTTCTAGGCACTAGGGGATGCCATGGTGAAGCCCAGGGAGGCTGTCCCAAGAGGGCTTGCAGCCATTTGTCCTGAGGAGTCGTCAGGGCACAGGGCCACCAAGTGGGGAGAGAGAACTCCCACTTCACGTTTAAAAACAGGCAAGTCATCCAAAACTTCTCATTTATGTAGCTCTCAATGACAAGGGCTTTTCCAGATAACTGAGCCAATTAGACTTAAAATCTAGAGTGTGTTTTCCTCAAGTTACCATTTAGTTCTCTGTTGTTGTTTTGCTTTGAGACAGTGTCTCATTATGTAGTTCATGCTGGTTTCAAACTTTCCAGCACTCCCTTGTGAATGCTGGAGTTATAAGTGTGTGCCACTGTACCCTGCCTCAGCAGTGATTTTCCTGCCCATCAGAACATTTGAATAAGTACATTTTAATTATGTCTATACCATTACATACAATTTCCCTCAAACACTCATGACCTCAGTCATGCCTTTTTAACCTAGAAAGTTATATTTTTCTTGTATAGAGCTAGAACTTATCAGACTCCTTTTGTTTCATTTTTATTATTTCTCAATTCCCCATTTGACTTTTTAAAAATTTCATTTAAACCTTTTTTTTAATTACTTAAATCTTTGTTTGAGATAGGCTACCTCTCTGTAGTCCAGGCT